CGCAAAAGCCTATGAAGGATATGGATCATCTACGATACAGAGGTGCCATGCGCTAGCTTGCTATTGACAAGAATCTCAAGATGACCGGTATATATATTACCGAAGATGAGGGGTGGGGTAGAGATCACCCGAGGCCGTGGCGGCGGAAAATTAGGTTAACAAAACAACATGAGAGCATAGGAAGGAAAATGAGAAGGTATTAAATTGTATAGAACCAGCTCACTCATAGCCGGGCCGAGGAATATGTGATCGTGGGTTATTACATAAGGCTATGTTATGCTTAACTGCAGCTTAGGCCTAGTAATTTAGTGTTCTCGAAAGTAACAATCGGCCCAAAAAAAGTTTCTCATAGGGCTAGTTCTAAAAATGGCCTTGTATTCTTAATTTATTTGAGACGCTTGTTCGGCGTATCTGGTGCACCGGACCCTGGTTGCACATTCCAAAAAAAATCCGCAAAAATTAGTGCATTGACACAACGTCATTCGATGTTGTCATAAAATTTTATATCAAAATTCGAAACATTGCACGAGATACAAAAATGAGATATTTGACATCAATGCAATAATGGACCAATTGGATCTTCTTCCTTTTTGTTTTTTAACCTTAAAATCCTTGGATGTGCAAGGAAATAGTAGTATGTTAATTTGGATCCTTTGGTGCGAATTCCGACAATCGCCTCATAGTAAAAAAACATTAAGGGGTCTCAGTATTGCTCAGCCGAGAATTCTGAAGACTTGCACACTGGCATCACTTTATAGTTATTATTGTTTTAACATGCATCACTTTATAGTTAGCATGAACAAGTTAGCAATGGCTAAGGAATTTGAAATAATGTTTAGGATAAAGATACTCACACAAATGGGTTGCTGTTAGGCCTCTTTTCCATATCACTCGGTTCACAGAGATTTTTGTTAAATCTCAGTAGATTGTGTTTGATAACACTGGCCATCTTTTATTATTCTATTTTTAATTCTTAAATTAAGTAATAAAAATAGATAAATAAGTACAGAATAATATTCTTGTCTAATGCAAAGATTTTTCTTCACAATCATATCATTTAATTAGTGTGTGTTATCTCATTAAAAAAAGAAGAAAAAAACATCTATTGAGCTTGCCCTCGCTTGGACCAGATATGGTACGAGGAATTTCCCCCATGCTGAACAGGCCATGATTGATTTCCCGCAAAAAAAAAAAGAACAGGCCATGATTGAGTACAACAGGACGTAACAAGCAACACCCCCGGCATATGTAGCATATTGATATCTTAGACTCTCGGCATCCACACAATTGCTATATATGTGGCCAATTGCGATCACGGGAGCTCGTGACGTAGCACCGCTCGCCTCTGGTGCGGTAGTCTAGGCCGACCCTGTACTATAGATACCACACGATTTTTTCTCTTGGTGCTTTTTCTTATCAATTTTTCACTGTTTTATTAAGATTTTCTTGAAACTTTATTTTTTTTCCTTTTCCCTTTCCTTTTTTAATTCATTTCTGTTTCTTTCTTCGCTTACCTTTGTTTTTCCTTTAATTTCAATTTTTCCTTTTTATTCAATAGAATTCTACATTCTTCTACACATTGCAAATTTTTCGTACACAGTAGGAACTATTTTTTATACACATTTAACATTTTTCTAATACATGTTTAATCTTTTGTTTGAAATACATGTTTTGATCTAAATTCCTTCATACACATTTTATCTTTTTTGTATAGATCTTAAACACTTGTATAAAGTTTCACATTTTTCAGATACAAGGTTAAAATTATAGCAAATAAATGCTTTTGTAAATAAAAATGAATATGTGTTGAACCTTTCTCAAACACGCGTTGAAACCTTTTGCTTATGGAACAACACATTTTTCTAATAGGTGAACACTTTTTTACATTGCACAACATTTTTAAATGTCCCAAAAATACTTTTGAAACCTGTGAATATTATTTAAATATAACATAAATTTTATTTAATGATATGGAACTATTTGATGAATTACATGAACTTTTTACATAGTATAAACATACAAAAATATTCATGTATATATTTTTGAAACAACTGAATATTTTTTAATGTCACAAACATTTTTTAATGGCATCAACATTTTTCAAAATTTATGCTAACAAGTTACTGACACTGCGTTAACATTTTATCTTATTTGCATTGAACATTTTAAAAGCTTCTAATAAAGTTTACTAAATTATTTTTGGGAATATATGTATTTAGAATATCTCAAAATATGAAAATAAGAAACCAACAAAAATGTGAAGTTAACACTTCTGGCCCACCGCACTTAGGATCCTCCATAAGACGGGGCATACCTCTATCTCGCTCTAAGCAAGACTAAGAAACATCCTACCGCATTCCCGAACAAGTGCTCGCCTCTCGCGAAGCTATACGGGCCGTCACCAATTAGCAACGAGTCAGAGACTGTTCAGTTTGCGGAATTCTGCATGGTTTCAGAAGGGTTTCCTATGGTCTTTTCTATTTTTTCTGTTGTGTTTCTTGCTTTTTTGTTTT